TTAATAGAAATCCCATCGCCGTTGGTATTAGTGGGAGTGGGATCCAGTTTGTATTAAAAATTTTGTTAATTCCACTAGCTTCAAAAAGGGTTCAGAGAGACGCAATTTACCGAAAGATGGAGAGTTCAAAACTCAGCCAGTCGAAGAGAAATTTGAAGTTAACAAGAATAGCAAAATCAACAAATTCCAACCTCCTCCTTCCCACTCCCCCCTCCCACTTTAAGAACATATTGTTTGTTCGTAATATTCAGATCAAAATCGAACAAATCACATCGCGTATTTACCAAAACTCGGATCTAAATTTTAATTGCCCACTGACCCATGCGATCGGCTGCATTGAAAATCCGATTTCAATCGGTACTGATCCCATTTAAATTCACCTTTCATGGAGCCTTTCCCCTAACGTAAGCAATTATCAGGAAAAAATAATCAATTCGGACTTTTTTCATACAATGACTGCTCAAAATAAACATTCCCACCTCTCCCCTTCCACTTGGAGAACACATGGTTAGGTGAAATAGGGGATATTTTGTTTATTACACTTCAATCATTTATAAACAGTTTATTGTCAAAACAAAGGTTCTCTTCTATGCGCAAGTTTAAGCTGTGTATTTGTAAAAAATTAATTTTTTTGGAGCTGCCGATGTAAAATTAAAGAAAGAAATGATCCTTGCAGGTAAGCTGCAATTTTACCAATTGCAGAAAAGGAAGACTAAGAAAAATTCAGGCTCGGACGGGATTTGAACCCAGGCCTCCCAGAATATTACTACCAACTGAGCTACGGAAGTAAATGTCAACTCTTCCGCCCTTATGCCTATTTACTTTTATAGGACGCTTCATAGCCCCTGAATATTTGCTTCAGTTATATTCTGGTCATTGTCCTCCAAATGTTTTTTCTTAAGTGTGTATAACAAAACATTTAGAAACATTTTATTGTCGAAACGAAAGCTCATTTTACTGCGCGACTTTTCGATATGATGTATTTGTGATGAAATGAGTTTCTTTTGACTTGCGGATTAAAATCAAATAAATACATGATCCTCGCAGGTGAGCTGCAATTTTACCAATTGAAGAAAAGTTGACTAAAAAACAATTCAGGCTCGGACGGGATTCGAGTTACTAATTGGGCGATGCTGCAAACTGAGCTACAAAGCCACACGTTATGAGTGAGGTAAACTTTGGAAGATACATCTTTTCTTGGAGAAAACTTATGCTCTTTGCAAAGAGGTAAATCAAATAGCGCCATGACAAACGCAGGTGAGCTGAAATTTTAGCAATTACAGAACAGTCCGACAAAAAGGAGAAAAAGGCTCGTTCCTTGAGTTTAGGGGTTACCTCGCTCCAACTTGGGAGGAGTAGAAGAATCTAGAAACAATTTTGCTTTTATTTTATTTTATTATTTTTTGAAACACTTTAGGTGTATTGAAAATTGTTTGAGTTTACCTATTTGCTACATTTTTTTCGGTTTGGTATACACAATAATTTTTAAATATTGTTGAGACTCCTTCCCAATTTTATATGTAGTATGCTACTACTCTGTTTCAAGTAGGGGATTTCCGATCTCAAAGATGTTAGAAGCAATTTCCTAACACTCGTCGTTCAGTCAACTATTTCTTTCATTCTCTTTCTACTACACAAGTTATTACAACAGGGACTAGCTCTGATCTCTCTAGGAAAGTGTGGGTCACTGCTTATAAAGGTGACACTCACGGAGCTGTCAATCTCTAACCTTCGTCATGCTTTTACACTTAACTAGCGAATCACGCTAAGCTACGCAGAGCGGAGTTCGCATACTAAGTAGATACCTTCGCGATGTTTACGCTTTACGAAATGTCTTTCTAACTTAAATCTCTTGGTCTTACGGTCAAGCTCGGGCAAAACAATAAAAATATTATAACAAACTTAATGAAAGAATTAAAATCATACTTGAAAAGATATCTTAAGAGAAAATAGTCCTTGAAGGCTGTTGCATAACAGCAGAATAAACACAAAATTCGGAGAAGAAGGGGCGTACCCAAGGTACCGCCCCTAAAAGAGCTACGTGCCAGCCGTAGAAGTTATCTGATAACAAATTCAGTGCAGAAGATGAAAAGTACTACATGTTTACACCTTAAGTCACCCCTAAGAAAAAGAGGTGTCGAACGTGCTAAATTATAAATTAAAAACCATTTTCCTGATTGGGAATTCAACATGGATTTAGCCTAAAACGAGAGTGTTAAATGGGTAAAGTATGGTTATTAGACCTTAAGAAAATGTCTATTTTTACAGGAATCGTACGAATAATTTTCACCCCAGAGATTATAAACTACAGAAACCGAAAAGGGGCAGTTCAAAAATATTTTGCGAATCCGAAAAAATATTCAGAATCGATATCTTTTATACAAATCGCTTGTGAAAAGTTTGTCAAATCGAGAAAACAATTTCAAATCCTGATTTAATTCATAGATCCACGAATAACTTTGATGGAAATCGAAAATAGTTTATAAAACAAGAATCTTTTCAAAATCCAGAAAATTTTCGCAAAATCGCGTCAGTAGTTAGTACTTTGTCACGCTCTCTTTTAAATCTCAGTTTAACCCAACAAAAGAACACACACAACCCTTAGGTGCAGCTCGCTTCAAGCCCAGCGCTCCGAATAGACTACAGGATACATGACGTATCATAAAAAAGTAATATATAAGTTTGAAAAAAAACATACTAATACTTAGCTCCAAAGATCTAAATCACAAGCTAACTGACATGGGATCGTGGAACAACAGCTGGATGAAAAACCTCCCGTACATCCACTTGCACCTAAAAGGAAACCCCAGGCCAGCTTTACCCTATATACGACGGTCCCCCGATAACAGAATAAATTAAAAAGCGGTACTCACGAGAAAACTAGATACCTAAAGCCTTAGAAAACGACAAACGTCGTGAAGATAAAGAATCTTGCACATTCCCGTTCTTAGCCACTTCACTAACCCAGCGGCCATGGCGCTTAAAAAGCCGGTCTGGCAAGCCAGCATTTGCGGCAGGAGTGATGAGCCCCACATGTCATTTTCGATTTTAACATCGGATCGAACAAGCTTGGGAAGCTCATCAAATCTGCGAAAGGCAGCAAAAGCCAGCAAGCATATAACAACTGAACGAAAATTATACAAAGAGGTCATCGAGTCCGCCTTGCAGGCAACTAACTGTTCTAACTAAAAGGCTGTGATAGGCTCCTTCTTGGTTGTGTGATATATGGTTTGCGCGTAATGGTATGAAGAGGAACAGTTCAAAATACCAGGCTATGGTGTTGGGAAAACAAAAAGGAACTGAGGAACCAGTGTTTAAGTGTGAGGAGTCACAACTTTCCATATCCAACACAATGGAACATCTTGGCGTGACAATCGATGATAAATTAAATTTTAAAAAGCACATTGCTAAAATATGTAGAAAAGCAGTCAACAAGTCGCCGTATTAAAAAGGATGCAGAAAATGTTGTCTTTTGAGACTAGAAGGGATCTTTATAAAGCCTTCATTTTACCACACTTTAATTACTGCTCCGAAACGTGGCACTTCTGTAATAAAAAGTCAGCTGACAAGTTAGAGTTGGTGAACAAACGTGCGCTCCGTTTACGTGATCTTATAACAGTAAGGTGCTTCACTTATAACCTTAGGGGCACCATAATACTGGACCTCCCAAAAGTAAAATCAACAACCTTCGGGTTAAGATCATGGAGATATGCTGCATCGAAATTATGGAACGCTTTACCGGACGAGTCCCGAAAGATACAAACATTTACTACTTTTAAAAATTACTTAAAAACATTAGATCTCAAAGGACTCTAGTGCGGTGAGGATCTATCCTTGATTATATTTACTGTTTTTAATGATTACATTTTAAACATTTTACTTGGTGACTACATTGTTAAATTCTTATATTTTAATATTAGCTAGTTTTTAATCTTAATTAATTTAAATTTATATACCTTCATAAGGATTTATAATTTCGTTTTCTCTTTTTATTTCGTGGCGTACCTGTAAACTAGCTTTTAGCTAAGCGTTCTGACCACGTTAAATTGATTGATTGATTGATTGACTGATTGACACGCCAGCAAACGCTGTGTACCGGTAAGAATATTCTTCACAAGGAATGTTCAGCAGGTGATGACTCGGCACCTAACTGGTTAAACCAGGCAATGCTATGACCTGCTGAATCCAGGAGAGAAGCTGTCTTCGTTTCAGTCAATAAATAATGCAAATACATGGCAAAATGATACGTAGATGCAGGAAAAGCTATCAAGCCATGTTCTCGGGTCTAAGGCTTCCATTTGTTGCAAAAAGAGAAACACTTAAACGAAGCACTGGGTTCTCTACTAACCAATGCAACATCCGGGAGAATGCCCAAAGAAACGTAAGATACCGATGAGAGCACATTTTCCTGCTATTACCAAGTCAAACGCAGGGAAATACTAATACAGCATTATTATTATTATTATTATTATTATTATAACTGTACCAAGTGCACGGCGATGTTCTGCCACGAATGTGGAAAATAATTTACCGTTGATGTGGAAAATGAAAGGGATCAACAGAAAAATGTGTGGCACGGTTCGTCAGATGAGAGATTTGCCATTGAACATTGCTTTGAAAGAGGATTTCGTTATGATACTATTGTTCAATTTTAGACAAAAACCATGGTATTTCTATGAACTCGAGGACTCTAAAGAGAGGGCTGCGTGAGTATGGGTTGAGAAGAAGAAATGAGTTCCATTCAGAGCACGAAGTTTGAGAGATGATTAAACATGAAATCGAAGGCCCTTCATCACTTTTTAGATATCGTGCGATATGGAACAAGCTACAGTGTTGCTGTCCCTCGAGACATGGTCATGGTTTACAAGAGCTTGATTTACAGGCATCTATCCTTCGAAAGGCCAGGAAGCTTCTGTGTCGATCATTCACCTCGCGAGGTCCAAACGCAGCTTGGCATGTTGACGGATACGACAAACTGAAACCTTACGGCTTACCTATACATGGCTCTGTGGAGGAATTTTCCAGGAGAATATTGTGGCTCAAAGTATGTAAAAGTAACAGTTATCCCGTAATTCAGGCCAGTTTTTCCTCAATGCAGTGGAAAAAAGAAGACTGCAACCAATGTTGGTGCAAACAGATTGTGGCCTGGCTGCCTTAGAGTGCCTTTTTTCCGGTGAAACGGTTGCATATCGTTGTCCATTTTCACATGCCAATCAGCACATCTAAAATTGGTGGTCACATAGTGAAAGGGGCTTCACTGCGTGGGTCATAGATTTTCTAAGGCACTCGTGATTGAAGGAAAGCTTACTTTGGGTAACCACTTGCACATGGATGGGTCTGGTATGTGTTTTCCAACATTCTGCAATTTGAACTTGATAAAGTGAAACATGAATGGAACACTTGAGTTTGACGCAACATTTCGTAAGAAAGACAGAAGGAGATTACGAGAATGATAACTTTCGCGTAATGATTACTGCTGCCGACGAATACCTAACAGGGAAAAATAGAAACGCGAAATTATTCTTGAGAGAGGTTTTAAAAGTTTAAAGCAAGTTCTTGGGGCAAGAGCTCGACAACTCTGGCAACAACTTTTGCAACTTTTTACAAACCAGCTCATAACTGGATCAATAAGATATTTTTTCAGAATAAAAATCCTGTATTTGAGCGACTGAATTCTGTGATTCCAAAATAGCTATAATAAAGTGGCAATTGAAATTCGTTACATGTACGTGCAATTTTGGTTGAGATTGAAGGAAGAAAGTTGGGATTGAATTGATTGACAGGAAAGTCGCGGGAGCACAAGAAAAAAAAATACTGGAGAAAGTGAAAGAATGAAAACACGCAACGAAGCAAAAAAAAAAAAAGTATTGAAGAGTACAAAACTAGGCCCTGAAAATAAAAATCGCGACAGTTCGTAAGAAGTAAGCGGAAGATTACGAGCGTGGCAGCCTTCGTGTACTGGTTACTGCAATTAAGCTATACCTAACCGAGAAAGTAAGCAAACGTTCGATGTGTCACAACAGAAAGTTTAGAAGTTCGAAGCAACTTCCTGGAGAAACACCCGAACACGCCGGCAGCAACGTGAAGGCAAGTGGCCGAACAGCTGCTTAGTCTCTAATGCACTCTTTGCCTTTGAGGACCATTACTCCTTCAAGATGTTTGAACAAATTTAAACGGAACCTGGAGACCCATTTATTTTTGGCTAGCCTTTGAAACATTTACTCGTGTTGATTAATCCCAAATTGCACTCGAAATCATGTGATAAGCTAATCCACTTATTTAGATCACTATTTTATATAAACATGTAAAGATTATGACATGGAAACGGCACATAGAAAATGTAAATCCAAGAGAGGAATATATCAAATTGCTTAACAGCAACAGATCACCAGACAAAAGACTTTAAATTCAAATCCAGAAAAAATCTTCTTATAGGAACTTGGGTACCAACCAGATAGAGGAGCTACCGCCAGGAGTCTTCAATAAAAACACCGAGTTGACTAAGCTGTAAGTAACACATTCATAGGTCCATATTCGATACCATCGATTCTTATTTATTGTAATTGATAGTATCTATCACTACGCGTTTTGATACATTTATAAGCAGCTAGCTTTTTAATTAGCTGCGTCAGTCAGAGAATAATAACTTGCAACAGTATATTGAGAGAGAAACCTTTCCCTGCTAGGGTTATGCGTCAAACCTTAAAAAAAAAACAAAAAAATTAAATGAAACAAAAAAATATTTAACTCGTAAGACAGTGCTCGAGCTTATAGAGGGTGAAGTCAACCATGAGAAGGGATTTTTTGCGGATGGGCAGAGTTAACAAAAGTAAATATACTCATTGAAGAATTCTTTCAGCTTCATTGTCGGTGCTCCTTGTTATGTAAATCCCATTTCTTTCGGCTGGCTTTATTTTTTCCTGAAAGGCTAATGCATTCTACCTTGAAACTTTCAGGGATCTGTCCAACAACGAAGTTGAGGATCTCCCTCAAGAAATCTTCAGCAGTCTGGGAAATCTCGAAATACTGTAAGTCAACAAGAAAAACAAATAAAAGAAATTTAAAAGCATGACGAGAAAAGCAATTTTCTCTCTAAAATTTGTCGAGTTGCAGAACTTTCAACACACACACACAAAAATGGTAGTGTTGAACTTAAAATTAAGTTTTCGTTTAATATTATCACTCCATATATCTTTCGACTTGATTTAATTAAATATAATTAAACGTGAGGCTCTCCTGTTCTTTAAACCTGTTCTTTAAAACGTGTCTCACCGAATGAATGCAAAACACGTGTATTTATATTACATAGATATTTAAGCATATTGTTATTTGGTTCTTATCGGTTGCCATCATTATCTACGGGAAACCAGTTCTGCTTTGCAGTTAAAGGTAGTGTTTGTTTAACTGTTTTAATGTTGCAGGCTTTTATCCAACAACCAACTAAGAGATTTACCGCCAACGGTATTTGCTAACCTAACCAAGCTAAAGACAATGTGAGTAGTGATGGATGGTTTGAATGAGTGAATAATTGTCAAGGAGGATTATCCTCTCTTGTTAATTAATAGTCGATTGATCGATTGATGGAATGATGAGTTTTTGGGGTAAAAAAGAAAAGAAAACGAAAACATTTACAGCACATTTCAAAAGATACCCAATGTAAAGTGCGAAGACGTAGTTGTCTAGAGGGACTTTCTAAGAATTGCTTTTGAATTCGATAATTTTGGAGCTATTAACGTGAAAGACAGATTAATTCAGTTGATTAAATAAATTGCCGAAAGAAATCGAAGATTGCTCTCGTTTACTTTATTTCCATCTCTGATAAGTCTAAAAACCTGTGCCACCCTATCAACCAATCGGAAACCAAACTAATACCAAACGTCAATAACTCGCATTTTCCGGCGCGTGAGGCTCTGTGCTTGAATTGTTTGTACTTTTAATGTAGACTGGCTCCTTAGCCTCCCTTTGCTTTGATTGGTTACTGTGATTACTCCGGCTCTTGCTTTTGGACCCTCACTCAAAAGGTACTCTAAGTACCGACCACTGATATAACATTCAACGTTTAAATTAAAAGAAAACTGGCCAAGAACATATCCATGATTTGCAATTCAACAGAAAAATTGAAAAGAATGAGATAAAGGAGCTGCATCCTCAACAGTTTCGTGGACTGGTAAAGCTGTTTGACCTGTGAGTAGTTCATTAACATTTATGTATTCCACAAGTTTTGAATCCTGGCATCTATCAAAAGTGAAAATATACTATCTTGCTGGTAACATATTTTGGCTTGACTGCTGAATTTGTTCATTACTGCAAGCGGAATAATGCCTACTCCGATGCAACTTTTCATGTTTTTAAGGCATCCTTTCATTTCCTGGAATTTCTGATTTTAAGTCATGATGAGGGTCTACGTAGGACCTTTTTCTTGGTGATAACTATTCTTTTATAGGATGGGCCGGTTTGGACATCACGCAAGTGGCTTTTCAGTACCAAGTTTATTTTGTTAGACAACCTTGTAAATTTGCAGTTCGTGCACTGACGATACTCTATAAAAGAAATCTCCTGATTCCCAGACTATCAATTATCTTTCTCCAAAAATTTTTCGTAATTATATTGCAAAATGTTAGTGAGTATTCTCATGATCCCTTTGATTCTTATGAAAACAATCAATGATGTCCCGTTCTTTTATCCATTATGTCCAACATTCATTTCATTTTCTTCCTCTCTTCATTAGCTATCTATCGGGAAACAAACTCAGATACTTCCCACAGGGAATTTTTAAAGGCTTAAAGGAGCTTTTGATTATGTAAGTAGACTATGAAATTCTTCTGGTCAGTAATGTTTTGAAATAACATCTTATGATCATGAAATTTGAATGCATTTAATTTCACCTTTAAGTGATTATTTTCACATCAATGTCGAAATATTTTACCTTCCCTGTTACTCTATATGATTTAATTGCACTTTCTTTTTGTTAGAGAAATTGTTGAAAACGAAATGACTCATGTCTCCATCGACAACTTCAAAGAAATTAAACAGTTAAAAATTCTGTGAGTGTTATAATTAATCAAGTGATGACCAAGTTGTGAAACGGACCTTGTTACCTTAAGGTGTTATATTTCACAATTGAAACATGATCAAAACACTCCAAATCGATGCTTTTATTGTAAAAGCATCTTACGTTTTCTGCAACTCACCGGAAATGCTGTCCTGCCAGCAGATTGATTATTTGCTGAGTGGGAGTAGGTTTGTAAAGAAACTTTGGTGCTTCGTCGGCGCAGGGCATTTCAAGATATTTGGTGTCATTCTACATCGAAACTCTGATTGGTTGGGAACATACAGTCAACATACAAAAGCGTGTAAAGTTGACATGATAACCGATATTTCCATCAGGTATTGGGTTATCATGTGGAGTTCAAAGTCTGACTAGTTTCCAAGCCCCTTGTCAGTGTAACGTCCTGAAACTTTTGCAAAGTCAGAGAGAAATGTCTTCTTTCGCAGAGTGATAATGATTTCGCTTTTCCCATGATATCATGGACTGTAAAACCTTGTGTCTGCTTTAAATGCCTCAGCCTCCGGCTTCGGCAGATAACTCAGACCTCAGCATTATGATAATATCATAACCAATCTCATCCAATATTTAACTATTATCAAGTGAGTTGGTGATGCAAATTGGCCACCATGAATATCCTCAAAAGCCGACGCCTGAGCATTAGCCCTTCGTCCAAGAATACTGGAATTGTAAATTGTAAGTGGTTTAGAAACAGGAAAAGACGCTTTGCGATTAGAGGGAACCTGGTCACGAAATAAACACGAATAAATTAGTTAAATGAAAGACTTCGGATTTTGATAAGCAAATTATTAGTTTTTGAGAGAATTCTGAGTAGACAATATCTGAGGGAAATTTAAGTTTTTGCAAAAAGAATTGAAGACTTGGATTCTTAAAAAAATATTTTGTCAATGAATAACTCCAGCCATCAGCTACTGATATATTCTTAAAAGCAAGTTCTGTGAAGTTTTTATGAAATAACTTCTGTGGATGATATTTTACAATTGTAGGAGTCTCGACACAAATCTGATGTGTTGTCATATGCACAAGGAGGACGCTGACTGTGCTTTCACGTACAACGACGACTTTGCCAACTGTGAGAGCATGTTTAAGAATTCTGCCCCAAGGAAGAGTATCTGGGTGATAGGAGTATTTTCTCTGGTTGGTGCAGTGTTTGTTGTCACTTGGCGAGTGATCTTTAAAGAAAAGAACGTGGTTCAGTCCATCATGTTGCTCCACTTAGCAGTGTCCGATGGTTTGATGGGTATTTACCTGATCTCTCTTGGCACTAAAGATCTGTTGTGGAGAGGAGAGTATTACTTGCATGACTTCCAGTGGAGGTCTGGTTTGTCTTGTCAAATAATTGGAGCGATCTCCCTTCTGTCAAGTGAGGTTTCGGTTATGATGATGACACTGATATCTGCTGATCGGCTTAAAAATATTGTGTTTCCTTACCAAGGTGCTTCTCTGAAACCAAAGGCAACACATATCCTGTGCATCATCATATGGGCAATTGGCTTCCTTATGGCCTTTTTGCCTATGTTTGGTATTCAGTATTTTGAAGACCCATTCAGGTACCATAGTTACTATGGTAGAAGTGTGGTATGTCTGCCCTTGCAGCTTACTTCTGATAGGCCGGCAGGTTGGGAGTATTCTGTTGCTATCTTTCTCGCTTTGAATTTTGCTTTTTTCTTGTTCATCATGGGTGCTTATCTCATGATACTAGTCAAGTCTTACTTGTCTAGCCGGCGACTGGCCCGTCAGGGTACTGAAAGAGAGATCCAGGCCAGAAGGGCAAACTTTAGGAGGGAAACGGCTCTTGCAAGGCGGGTGTTCTTCATCATCCTTAGTGATTGTGTGTGCTGGATGCCGGTGATAGTGATTGGTATGAGGACCATCATCGAGAAGTCTTACGAAGCGCAAGGAGACCTCGCTGTCTGGATCGCTGTATTTGCCCTTCCGATCAACTCGGCCTTGAATCCTATCCTGTACACCTTGTCAACAGAACAGGTGCGTTATGCGCTTTTAATCCATTATAAGTAGTCAAGATAATAAAATCCGTAAGCGGACTTATAATGGCTAGGTACAGGAAGGGTAATGGTTTTCAGCCGACTATAAGCAGTGTATAATATTGCTCAAGACTGCTTTGTTCACGTGCAATGGACACTGACAATGTTTCAAAAGCATTGGACAACAGAAATTCGTTAGTTTCTATTTTGTCATCGGAGCTCAGCTCAAGGCAGTGAGCGAAATCTCGGTTATTTTGTATCCAGGCCAGAGGCATTCTGAAGAACAAAATGGAAAAAGTCTGGAACTACTTGAAGACCGTTTTCACCTGCTGTGGTCGGGATCAGGAAGGTGCGATATAATTATCAGCTCCTGATAAGAAATAAACCGAAAAACGATGTAAACTAACAGACTGCTGCAAACACAGTTTATTGATCTATTGATTTGTTCATTCAGTCACTCAGTCATAAATCAATTCACTCATGCATGCATAGAGGCATTCATTTAATCATTTACTCGCTCGTTCGGTCCATTGTTCTTTTATTGGTCGGCTCATTTGTTGTACGAACTAAATATTTCCCGACTCGATTATTGACTTTTCTTCGTTGTTTTCTTTAAAAGGCCAAGGAGATGGGGAACAACCGAACCAACCGGGAGCAGAAGACAATGGACAACATGGCGGCGAGGGAGGTAAATCCTTACCCGTATTTCTAGAAATACCGTGAAAACTATAAACGAGGGAAATAAAGGGCAATCTGTGACTAAAAATATTTTTTTATGTCTTCTCTCTTCTTTTTATGTTCCCTGTTTTTTTTTTAATTTTTTTATTTTAAAATTAAAGGCCACGGAGAGGGAGAGCAAGTTAACCAGCACGGAATGGAAGAAAATGTAGAACATGGGGGCGAGGGAGGTAAAAACCTTTCAGATGTCAGTTAACATATCATACGAGGGCGCAGGGTTAGTCTGTGTACATTTTTTATCTACTTTCTCTTTTCAAGGACAAATTGAGGGTGAAGATATCGAATTGGCGAGTGTTGGTGTGTATCATCCACAACAGGGTAAGGTTAGAGTTTCTAATTCAATGTCAAGTTTTCAATGCTATTCTGTTAGTTTATATTGTATTTCTGTTCCTCTATAACTGAAGGATCTATGACTTTAGGATATTTTCATACACACAAATAAATTTTATCATTATCATTTTAATTACCAAACCTTTCTTGTCTATTACGTTTTAGTAGTTTGAAATTGTAGATCTCGTTCTGCGTTCGTCACAAAAAATCCTTCGTTCTTATTTGTTTCTTGGCTCGTTCACAATTTTTTTTCTTTGCTTTCTTTAAAAAGGCCAAGGAGACGGAGAACAACTGAACCCACAGGGCATGGAAGACATTGAACAACATGGCGGCCTGGGAGGTAAGACATTTTTTCCTTCTAGTGAACACAGAACGGACATGAAAACTGTGAGTGACAACATAGTGGCAATCTCTGACTATATTTTTTATTGACAATTTCAAGGAAAAGTCGAGGGTGTAGTTATCGAACTGGCTCATGTTGATGTGCGTCATCCACAACAGGGTAGGCTAAAGTTTCTCCTCTAATGTCATCTTTATGTTGATAAAAGTTCCGTACTGAAGTTTTCGTTGCTGTTCTGTTAGCTTGTATTGCCAAGACTCTACAATATGTTGTATTGATGGTAGTTTTTATTTTGTTTTCTACTTCTGGAGGGATCTGGGTCAGATGGATATTTTCGTACACACAAATCAATACAGTTCATTTACATCATTATAGTTATCCACCCCTCATCGTTCATTACGTTAGTTCTAAATTCTACGGATCTCGTGTTCTAACACAATTTTGTAAGGTTTAAAAGTTTTGAAAAATTTCTTTGTTATTTTGTCTCCAGTTATTGTCATTATTTGAAATAAAGAAAAACAAAATAGTCTGACTTGATTCTGTAACAATCACTAATAATTAGATAATGGAAAATAAGGTACAATATTGTTCATTAGTTTAAAATAGAAAGAATGACAGTGTTTACCTTTTCGTTTCAAGGAGTACTTGATGAAGCCGAAAGAATCGAACCGGCACCTATTGAGAATACTGATCTAAATCAAGGTAACTTGTCTTACCTTCTTTATTAAAAATGTATAGCCAACCTTGTTTTTTTTTAGAAAATTGGCCGCTATTCTTTGTTTGTTTGACAACTCATTCACTGTTACTGTGGTAGAGATAGACAAACCTTCTAAGGTATATTAAAGCTCTCCTGCGTATCGATCAGTTTAGAGTCTCATTACCTCCCTTAGGTATTGCCAAGCTCTAAATGAAGTAAATTTTTAATTTCACAGTTGGCTTTCTTACCACTATAACTGGTGGGCAAATCAAAGAATATCAATTATCCTCAAACAGGACTAAGAGATGAAATTTTTTAATGCAAATGAGCGAAATTTGGGCGCAATAAATTAAGATTTTGCATAACAGGTGGCGGCCAAGATGAACGGCAATAAGTATGAAAACATCAAGTTGAGTATAGATTCACGTAATTCTCATTTGGGAGCTTTAACATTCTTATGCAATTCTTTCAAGAAAATTGCCTAGCAAAAGATAAAAAAGACCAAACACTTAAGAAATCCCAAAGTTTGACATGAATTTATTATGTATAATATTACAAGTGTTTGATAACTGGTAATTGAAATGTCACGAGCACGAAAGCAGGGTATTTCGGGTCTTTTATCCGTTTTTAATTTGGCTTTGGGTTCGTTTCGCAAAAAGTGCAATGTTCTGTTGCGAATTTTGATGAGTCTCGATAGAAGAGAGTAGGCCATTAAATATACCCGATGCAAATTTCTTTGGCAAAAAAACAGTTTTTCATGTAATAATTACTTCCACTTTATTGTTCTATCCTCTTTGTTTCGCCGACATTTTGCAAAAGAAATTGTAATTTTTTCGTTCTTATTTTTATTCATTTTTCCTTTATTTGCCGTTTCATCAAATAAACAAATTTTGTTGCGAATTTATTTGGAATACCTCGGTAAAAAAAAAAACAGCAACAACAAACAAACCAACAAAACAAAACGAAAGCAGCCAATTCGGTTTATTTCTCCAGCATTACCTCTCGGATTACCCTACAGTTATCTATTTATTTTGTGATTTTCTTACATTTAGAGTGTCGTTAACCAGTTTCATCAAGTTAAGCAGTTGCCACAGCGCATTAAGTACCTTATCAAATATGTAATTTTTACTTTGTTTCTTTTTAATGTTAGGAAAACGGAACAAGAGTTTGAAAAAAGGGGACGGTAAATTCAGGCATTCCACCGCAAAGAAGTAAGTGGTGAGAAGGGGGATATACACAGGTTCAAATTCCTCCAGAGATATAAACTGTCCGTTTAACAAAGTTGACGGACGTTGTCACTGACAAACTAACTGCTGAATTATTTGAATTACTGACTTATTTGCAAACTAGCTAGCTCCTTAACCTACAGGCTAAACGGTTGAAAGAGTGACTGTCGCTAGCGGACTTACCTCACTGAATAACTGACTCACTAACTTCCTTACTCACTGATTAACCAGCTGACGGACTGACTGACTGAATTACTGACAAAAATGACTGAGCAACTGATAAACCAACAAACTGACTACTTGACCGACTGACTGAACGAACGCTGAACAATCGCCAGAACAATTGAGCGCCCAACCTGGCAGCCAACCAAAAGATTGATTGATAGTTTATTTTATTGACTGATTGACCTACTGATTAAATGACAGAACGGGGCTTTTTACATAAATAATTATTTTGCAAGATAATAGCGATTAAACATTTCTTTTCTTTTCATTGTTTTGCTTTTGTTTTGTTTTGTTTTTTTTTTTAACAGAAAGAAGGAAAAATCAAGATCAATGCGTCAAAAGTCACCTTCGGCGACCGATGCTGTCGATGAAGAACACACT